CCGCAGATTATCTGCATGAATTTAATTGCAGGGGCGTGTAGGTGGAGAGGAGCGACTTCCTTGGTCAGCCCTTGATTCAGGCAAAGCGAAAAGAGGGCGCACCGCGTCAGAAAAATAACTCCTAAACGAGGCGAATTCGACGTGAATTTTCAGAATGCTGCAATCGGCATGAATGGGGATTAATTGATGGTCCTCCTCCCCTTTCGTCCCGGGCGTCGTTCGTGTTTCACGTCGGGAGATTTTACAAATTTTCATTACACACAAGCCAGCCGGTGCCGGCGAACGAATGGAGGCCGAAAGCTCCGCGAGCGAAAAAGCATCGAGAGGACGCGCAATCTCGATTACTCGCGCCCGAGGACGGGCACAGCTTTACGGACAAACTCATTCCGGCATAACAAATTATTCGGGGAAACGGCGGGAATTGTGCAGAAGCGACTAACAAGAAAGTAATTTGGTGTCACTCGTTTTATGCGACATCCCGAATTCTGTGGAGATTTCCGTGCGAACCCGGCGCGAAATTTACTCGCGGATTAATAAAGGGAATATGTGCTTTTAAATATATAGCTATCTGTGAGCCCCATAACGCTTAAATATTTAAATTCAAGTAATTTACTTGCGATAATTAGAAACTCTATTTCGATAATTTGTATTCATTAAACTCCGTTACATCGCGCTTCGATAATTTGACGTAATTTTGTTGATTATACTGTCTCTGATTGCGAATAAATATTATAGCAGAATTCAAATGAATTCTTTACAAGTGAAATGGCAATATAGGATATGACATCTAAATGCATGACGTAATACTTGTATGTAAATTTGTTTAGTTGTTTATAAACTATTTTAATATCATATTAATATATATCATACTGATTTCAAAATTGCAAATTAAGAAACGTTTGCGCTGCAGATTTAAAAAAAAGAGTCCTTAATAAACAATTTACAAGAAATTCGTTTAGATTTATAATATATCTGAAGTAATAATTAAATAGTTTGATGCAAGAAAACTGATGTTATATTTAAGAATGTCCTTTACACAAGATGTGTAAAATACAGTTGGTATCTTCTAGAGAAGCTGTCAGAGGAAACTTACTAACAATAAGTCAAAAACTGTTCGTAGCACAAGTTAAAAATATAATCTAAATAATACTTTAAGCGAAAAGAATAGTATTAAAAATGCGCTGCTCTCATTAAACTGATGCTAAAAATTACGCGACGCAAAATTGACGAGGCTAACTCGACGATGCAATTTTACAGTGTAGCCTTTGGTATTGGGATCCGGAGACGAACCGAAACATCGAGTTCATCGATACCCATGAATATTGATCGGTCGCCGATTAGAACGCCTCCTCGCCCGAGGCAAGGGATCGTCTATGCGATTCGAGGAAGAAAAAGTTCGACGAGCCGTAACGAGCGATGGCGTGTTTCTTACAAATCTTTTTACAGCGCGTCCAACAGGACCGCGTTAATTGGACGAAGTGATGGCGAAAATAACGGATTGAACGTGTCGAGTGCATAATTTTGCGAAATACAAGTGAAACGAAACGCCAAGAGGTAGTTGAAATGAAATAACAAAAGTGTTTCCTTCGACTCGACGCGACTTTAAAGTATAAATATAATAGACTTAGCTGCGTAAAACGTTATCGTTTAGCTTTATTCATCTCGCGAAAGTGATACTTGTGCATCGTCCTTGTGGTAATCTCCTTCCTTTCTTTGCGGGAAGAAATGGATTTAGCCGCGTAAGGGTTCAATTATGTTCTTTCACAAAGGCAAAAAAAAACTCTTCAACATAAAAGCGCGATCGTAATTGTGGGCTTTCTTTGCATATCATCTTCCACGATTTTAACTTGAGTCGACAAATTAATCTTGGAAAGAGAGAAAAAGGAAGAGAGGGAGGGAAGGAGAGAGAGAGAGAGAGAGAGAGATTGCATTTAAAAAAGATATTTCAGTTCTACGATATAAAATTATCACAATATTTGTGTAAAAGCCACTTTTATTTCAACATCTCTTCGCGTTGCGTTATTTTTTCACATCCTTCCTTTATTTACGGCGATACGATAATTGAAAATGTAATCTAGAAAAGATAACAGTTTACATTATGCTCGTCTTATAAAGCACTCAATAACTGCCATCGATTCGATATTTTTATCAATAAAATATATCTTCTCATTGTAAAATATATATTCCCGTGAAAAGTTGCAACTTCTTGAATAATCACTTCGATAAATGGCTCCTATTCTCATTTAACATTTATACGTAAAGCATGATTAAAAATATTAGAGTATGTACTTTGTATTACTACTTTCGAATAAATTGCTTTTACGTGCGCACGTTTCACTGAAATTATTCCTCTCTTTCTCTCTCTCTCTCTCTCCTTTTCTCATTCAAGCTGCTATGCGCAAGTCATATAACAAATCCATACTTATTCAATACGATAGCATGAGAACCGTTAATGAGAAGTGAGAGTTTTTAAATTATTAAATAATCCCGAAGTATATACTCCACCGATAATTTCTGCATTTAGAGCCGTAATAAAGAAAGAAAATTTACACTAGGCAAATGACGTTATTGCGATTCCCGTGTGCATCGTTGTCGTTCCATCACTTTCTCCGAGAACGACCAACGGTTGTTAGATTCATGAAGTGCTCGAAATACACTTTGCAGTTCTTACACGTGAGTGTGTGGCCGACGATATAAGGCCAGGCGATAAGGCCGTTTCACTGCAACGCTATCGTCGTCCTAACCGTTTTCGTAGGTGGGTAGGCTAGCACACGACGACCTGTGTAAATGATCTTCACGTACGATTGCTTCGCCGACGAAGTAGGTGATAATAACGAGTACTTTATATAAACGGCAATTTTAACTAACTGCATTATTGTTGACCCTCTACCACACGGCAAAAACAGTTTTACTGAGGTATATAAAAATTTAACTAGATACAAATCTGTAAATAACTTTGTTACACTTAGACCATTAAAATAATTATGACTATGTTTCGGTATACATTGCTAGTACTGAAAATCTGTAATTCACGTTACGTATACTATAGATTTTCAGCATTGGCAGTGAAACACGGAGGATAAACATCTTATGTAGGATGTTTAAGCTAGTTGTTGAAATGTTAAAACTTCTTGCGACACTCGTTCTTTTATTTCGGCCTCCTACGTAATAATTTTAATAGTCTAAAAATATTATTTTCAGATCTGTATCTAGCTAAATGTTTAGATGCTTCAGCAAAATTGTTCTTTTCATGCACTTATTTCATAAAACAAGTCCAACGTTAAGATTTAATAACCTAACATATTCAAGAATTTTACTTTTCTACTGTTACTCGATATTTAGAAATAATTAATAGAACGTATTAATATATACGTATAATTAAAAAATTTTCATTAGTTTACTTATTATACGTGCTTTAAACATTATTTCAGTATTATTTTTTTATTTATTTTACCCTATTTAGAAGTAACGGTTTATATTAAAATGTTATCTGACGTAATAGCTATTTTATTAAATATTCCGTCAAACAAGTAATACTCTTTATTAATTTTCAATTTTATTCCCCGAATGCAAAACACTCGAATGAGGTCTGAATACGTCGATGCACTGATTTACACGGTGATAGGAAACGACCGATCAATAACGAGCGCAAAAATTGTTTCTGCCAACTAATACATGCATACATGAGATGGTGTGTTCGCGGCCCAAGTAATTAATTCATGGACGCGAGATAAAAATGGTTTATTAAATGCCACCCCGAATGATTTGTCGCTGGCATTCGGCCCGAGAACTTCGGTTGATGCGGTTAACGCGATGAACTGACCGAATTGTTGCAAGTCCCGTATTAAATTACACGGCATGGCGAGAAAATAGGCAAATTGAGAGAGAAATGGCTTATTTTATTTTAACCGCGGGTCGAATTGCATTAGGTATAATAATACCTATTTCGTAATTTTTAACGCGGCTTGTATATTGGTAACCTAATACAGATTACATTATTACAATACACTGATTAAGTTACAAGCAAATTGCGACGTGCTAAAAAAAACGATTTTGCCAATTTTTACTATTTCCATAACTAGTTTTACTTTTTCAGCGCAAACCTGATTATAATTTGTACAAATTCAAATGGAAATTCGCGATCGTTATGTGAATTTTCATCATTGCACTATTATTTAATATTAAAGCACATTTAATTATCATTAGGATTTATTATAAATTATAATAATTTCATTATTTAGCTACATAATATTTTATTAAATTATAATCTATAGTCAGGAATGGAAGTAATGCGTTACTTGTAACGCCATTACCATTATCGTTGTTTTTTTGTAGTGATCGTTTTAATTTCAATTTATTTTCTTCTGTTGTAACGATAACATTCTCAATAACGATATTGTTTATAAAAACAATGTTTAATAAAAATTTTAATAACTTCTACGCGTGTTTGTAGATTCAATCTAAATTTCTAGAGATAAACCTACATTAAAAAATAAAAACAATATAAAAAATTAGCTTAAAAGAAGCTTATTAAATAAATATAACATATTTTTAAATATATGCTCGCTGTATAGAAAGTTCAGAATTTCAAGTTTCAATATTGATTGTTACAGTTAATATTTATTATTAAATAATGTGATTTTTTTATCTAATATTTTATTTTAACATTATAAAAATGTAATGAAAAAAATAACGAATCGTTACTTCTTAAATAACGATAAAAAATGAAGAGTGAAAATTAACGGTCCAGTATAATATATAGAAGTCTGTGGTTTAGTTAATCATCGTTACAGTTATAAAAAATTACATCATTATCGAATTGTTATGATAAAAAGTAACTATAAAAGTAACGGAAAAGTAACTCTTCTATTCTCTGATAGATATAAAAAAATTTATTTATATCGTATATGTGTGTTTATATATATTACAATTTTTCATACAATATACACAATTTTCCAAAATATTAATATATAATCTAGATTATCACTTTTTTGCTGTAGAAGAGCCATCCTGACAAATCCCGACCTGCTGGCGAGCACACCTTGGTACCGATTGTTCGAGAATGACTTCTGGGGAACACCGCTGACGGAACGTGGCTCACATGGAAGCTATCGACCGCTCTGTGTGGCCACCTTTCGTCTGAACCATTTTCTAGGTGGTCTCGAACCCTGGGGCTACCATCTGGTGAACGTGGCATTACACGCCGCCTGTACCGTTCTCGTGGTCAAGGTCGCCAGAAAGGTGAGTGTTTGCTTCCGCTATCTCTATAAGATATTATCTTGCAAAGCAAAATAAACGAATTATGCGACGATTATATCACGATGGAATAAAAAAGATTTCATCGCGTCAAACAAGAAAATGATTATATCAACTAATTGTAAGAGAAACGTCAACTACGATTAAAATTAGATGTTGGAATAATATTTCTATATGTATTTTTAATATATTTATTGTAAATATATGAATGCGCGTTGATTATTTTCGGACCTATAATATAATCAATTCATAAAATAATAATTTCGTAAATTAAATTGTCGATTTGACGCTGCTATAACATCTTAAATCTGTGAAAAAACTTTTATTCCGAAAAATATTATATATACTTCAGCCAGGATAGAAAATTGGTAAGAAAATGATAGTATCGTTAACATTCGTAACAAACAGGATACTCTCTAATGCTGATTCTGCAATGATGAGTTGGTAACCGGTAGTCCTAAGTTTTATCGGTGAAGTTGACCAATAGCCAACTTGTACGACTAACGCTGATTGGACAACTTCACTGATTAAGGTTAAGACTTCCGACTATCAACTTATTGTAGAATCAGCACTAAACTAAATCAGTGTATTCTTACTGACTTCCGTGTTACACTTAGAATCATTATATACTGATATATCATCAACGAATATTTACTTTTAGAGATTATGATTTTCTGCAGATTCACTTGTAAAGAATTCTAATCCCTAACAGTGAAGAGTGTAGTATTACTAAAAAACAATAAATATTTGCTAATGATTACATCAGTTATAAGTGTGACACTAAAGTCACTGATTCATTTTTAGAGAATATGGGTTTACGCTAAGATGATAAAAATAAACTAACGACACCTGTAGAACGTATATCACATAGATTTAATAATATTCAATGATATATCTATAGTGGTGTAGTGGTTATAAAAAGAAATAAAATTCTAAAAGTTTCTCCGATGTTGAAATATGCTGTATTCCTCTTTTAATTCATCAGAGCTACCAATGGGTCTGTTGAACCAATTATATTATTCACATCTATGCAAATTTTAATTATTGTTATTAAAATAAATTTAGTATTCATAATTTTTTATTTTAGTTATGTCATTTTGATCTCTTCGAATTAATTAATTAGTGCCTTTTAATCAAAAATTGAATGGGTCTCCGGTATCAGTAACAGTATTACAGATATTGACGTCAGCTTCACAGGATTAATATTGTATAAAAATATCATGAAGGATTGATGTATAGTTTGAAATCCATTTATAATTCGTCAATACTCAACAAAAGTTAATTGCTAATTAATTTTATCTCTACATCACTTTTGCTTTATTTCGTATAAATTGCCCTTGTTATTTGTCATTTAAGAAAGCAATACCAACAATTAATCAAGATTTAGACATCTACTATCGGTAGACTTAATTCTTCTACCATCAATTATACCTTATTGCACGACACTAATTTGCACGATTTAATCGGGGGAGATTAAGAGGAACGCAATTCGCTTCGCAGTAAAAGTCGCGTTATGAATCCATCTAATTATTAAGTAATCATAGGTTCGTTTTATATCCGAAATAAAGCCGCTGAGATCCTTCTTATTTCATCTGCGCAGAAGCACATCTTTAGAAGATCGTCGACGGCAGAATTCAAATAACGAGGTAGAACCCGCTTAACTTTACCATAAGCCTACTGCACGGTTTTAATTTTACGACGTCACTTCGTTTTAGTTAGCTTGGAATTCCTCTTATTCCGAAAAGGGCGATAGGGCGCGGTCATGAAAGGGAACTGTAATGATGATTCGGCGTAACTGTACGGGAACATCTCAAATAACAATTTCCGCATACATCGGAGAGTCAAAAGATCCGCAACAAGGTCTTATCATTCTAATGAGACTTTAATTTTACATCACCTCTTTCGATCATTGTGTTTAACTTGGCGAGTATTTAATTTTGATATGTTTTAATGACGCGTTAAGGAGTTATGCAAAGAACAATTTAATGATATGTGCAATAAATTATGCCAAGTTCAATTAAAACGTACTAATTTAAATCAATTTAATTATATGTAAAAATATAACAAGAAGGGAAAGAAAGCCTTTATAATAGTCAAGCTGAATCTCTTAAGCGCTTAATAATACTATGTGAATTTAAAGCATAAATTCGAACAAATCAGTACATTACAGAGAAGTGCTCATATTTTTTCAAATGTGCGTAGAATATTCAATATTTGGCATAAAGTTAGCTAAAATACGTATGCATGAAAGATGGCGTGGTCAAACAGAACCCCTACGTGATTTAATTGAAAAAATATCAGTCTTACTTACTACTAGACGTGCTAAAATTCTAAATATACCAATGTAGCGCAATCCTTTTATCTGAGCCGAAATGCCGACAACTTTCCTATTGGCTATTTCGACTGCTATTTTGAACTTAGTGGCCTGTAGTCCAATAATTAGTATTATTGGTATATGATATAGTTAATAAGTCGAAAATGGAAGACTTTTACTTTGGAGGCACCTTATCTGGTTAAAATAAAAAAATTTTTTAAAAACATTTTCTTGTGTTGCTATTAAGTGGTTGTTTGTGTCATATATTTTAATATCATCATAAAGTATTTATAAAGATGTGTATTAAGAAAAAGGAAAGGATAGAGACCATTATTCAGCTATACGCTTTTAGTATTTTAAAGAAAAGAAATGTGCAGGACATGAATGGCCCAATTGTATGTACTAGGGGTTAAGACATTCACATTAGCAGACGGTATTTTCTCGTACAAGAGCGAAACGGCTAAAACATCGCTCATATATTACTTAAGATCAACTTACATCGACTTTTTTAATTTTGCCATGATATCTCACAGACAAAAGTAGATACTACAATAATAAGTTTTTTTTTAAATACATGTTTTAAAAATATCTACAATTTAAATTTAACAAAAATTTTTAAAGAACTATTTTCTAAATTTTAAATTAATAAAATTATCACAATAAAAAAAATCGTTTTTTGTTACTTTTTAACCTTTTTAAGTATTACATGCTTTAAGAGTACTGACTTTTTTTCCAATTAACGTATTTGACAGTGATATCGATGTAATATTTGATATTTAGATTGACGAGCAATACTTTTACGAGATATTTGCTTTGCAATGTGACAAATTGTTAGCGTGATTTTTCAATTTGTCTCACGTGAATTTGTCTTTCTGTGAACGTGATGAATTTCGTAGCTACTGTCACATTTCGTATTGCTAGTACATACATCAAAAGCACAGAAAGCGCTTCCTTATTATCATATTGGATTCCCGATTATGGTAATAATAGTTGGTAATAAAAATTTCATTAGATTGTATTATTTCACGCGAAATAATTCCCTCAGTTAAGAATGAACGTTACATGTGGCCAAGTACCTACCGTGATACGTGATCGGATATAATAAAGGTACTTGACACATTTCTTGGAATCATGAAAATAAGCAATAATATCCAAGTTGCGTACCGTTTTATAAGTTCATTAGCAACTCAAATCGTTTTAGCGCGTTATTATGAGCGTGAGGAAATGGCAAGTACGAGGAACCGCGTTAATTTAATACACACAGCACTTTCTCGTGTAATGAAACTGTCGCGCTAATTAACTGCGTCTAAGTGTATTAATGAAAGTACTTCTCGTACTTCGAGAACAGCGTTTTGAGTTATGCATGCTGTTAATATCTCCGGTAAGACGCTTCGCCGCGAGATGTTTCCTTGGTCTCGATTCCGATCGGTTTTCCTTCTGAGCCATTTCGTCGCCACCTTCGATTTTCTGTTGGCGCGTTGAAAAAATATACGACATTTATACAATTTCCCTGCTCGAAATTCCGTCCGTCCCGCCGTATCCCTCTAGCCCCTAGCTATTGCAAATGTGCATTGGATCGTATAATTTTCGAATAACCCTCGTCAATGGCTGCTACCGACGATTACCAAGCGTCGTGCATAAAACTGCGAATTGTATTCCTCTACATCCTTACATATTTGATATTTCTTTTCATATTTTGATCCAAATATTTATCTATATTTTCTGATTCTTTCTTTCGTTGCGAATAAACGTGATTGTCGTTGTCACACAGTGAACATTTTGCATTTGTGTTCAAATCAATCTTTGACAAAATTTTTTTGTTAAATTTTTTATTTGAGTATTAATTTAACATAATGTGATTGGGTTATTTGAATATTTTGTGTTAAATTAATATTCAATATTTCTCGGTATTAAAATAACACACAATTTATGAGTAAGTGAACAAATAACACACACACATATATATATATATATGTGTGTGTGTGTGGATAGATATAATGTTTCTAAAACCTAAATTCTAAGAAATAAATAATAAAATAGATTATACATGAGTGTAAGATGTGTTAATTCAACATATTATGAATGTTAATTTTATTGAAGAAATTTAGGATAAAAGCAGGGAATAAGGAATAGCGGTTTTTAATTACTACATTGCTCCGATATAAATGCATATGAAGACTTAAAATTTACACAGAACTCTTGAGGAATATATTAGCAACAACATCCAATAAATAAGTCATTAAAATTTAAGTCCAACGTCAATATTATCGATTATTCTTCTCACTTTCGATCGTAATTGATTAATTTCTTAAGGCTTGTGAGGCTATTACTACTCTATCATATTTGCGGGCTAATGGAATAAATAAATTGGTATAAAACAAAGAGAGATAATTGCTTTTTAAAAATGATAATTAGCGTAATTGTATATTGCAAATTGCATAAATTTTATTATCAAAACCAATATAAAAATAGGCAAAGTTCTTTGACACAATTCATGTTAATTATTTCTTACAACAACAAAATAAATTTGTAGCTAATATATTACAACATTCTCCATAAAAATCTTAAAGTTTTAGAAAAGTCCGCGTGTTACAAGATTCAAATTTTGAAGAGACGTTATTATTATCGCGGTTATCGTTGTTAGCCATTAGCATTATTGGCCATTTGTCCAATAGGCAATTAAATCGAAACTCGGATCAAGCAATCCTCACGGCGGAGTAGTAGAGTCAATTAACGTTGGAGTTAATTTGCCCCACTCCCGTCACTCGAAGGATCGCCACGCGAGACGGTTACATGTGTACCTTACTAGATATCCGCAATTACACTCCGCAGGTCCTACCAGGAAGGAGCAATCTCGCGCACGCGATCACAGGTTTCCTGTTTGCGGTCCATCCCATTCACAGTGAAGCTGTGGCTGGTATAGTCGGACGTGCCGACCTTCTTGCCTGTTTCCTGACCTTGACATCTTTCCTGACGTATTCAGCCCATTGTAATCGCACGAGACCGTCGTTTCCTTTGCTGCTGGCCCTAGTGTCGTCGACGTTGGCCACCCTTGCCAAGGAAACGGGCATATCGTCCTTGGCTCTCTGCCTTCTGTGGGAACTCTGTCGTGGTGAGCCAAGTCGAAAGGTAAGTAGCGGGATAATATCTACATAGTTTATCATTTTATCATTTAATCAGTATCGAGTATTATATAGATGTCAAATTAGATATTTAGGGCAAGAAATGAAAATAATTCGAGGTTAATTTTAAATATAAAATTGTGTCTCTAGAAAAAGTTAAAAATTTTGTTCACTCTTCCTTTGAATCTTTTTAATATTCATATTCTGAGACATATACAACCGCAGACAGTAAAAACATTTTGTGCTTATGTTAAAATCAGTTCTATAGTTAAAATTTTTGTGTTGAATTTTTAACATATTTGAGTGTTAACATAATGTCATAGTGTTATTTGAACAGTTTGTGTTAAATTAATATTCAATATTTCTTGTTAGTGCTAAAATGACATAATTTATAGGTAGAGCCTGGATTAAAGTTCTGAGATCGAGTCAACCGTAGCTAGTTCTCCCCACCGCCCGCGCCATGGCGCCATCCACGGCGCATCGTTCCATCCCTCGCCCGGCTCGCCATGGCTTCGGGCGAGTGGCAGTGCAGTGGGGAGAATCGTGAAGAACGAGCTACGATCAACTCGAATTGATACGTCGGTCGGCGAATAATCCGGGTTCTATTTATAAGTAACATAAAATATAACATAAATGTAGTTTTAAATGCAAATTTCATATATAATATACATATTTTATTTATAATATGTTAAATTAACATGTACATTTTATTCATTTAATTTGAAATTTACGTTTTAAAGCTACATTATTTTCATTTTACTCACATAATGTACAAGTAACATAAAAATAATGTAGTTTTAAAACGTAAATTCCAAAATAAATAAATAAAATGTACATGTTAATTTAACATATTATAAATGTTAATTTTACTGAAGAAATATGCTTCCCAAATTTGTTTCCAAATTGCATCAAAGTGTTATTGTTACTTTTTAATATATTCGTCTTGCATAAAATTAACACAATAATTAATAGGTGAATCGTTTGGTGAAATGTGAAAAAACACTCGATATGTGTTGACGTAAATTTTCCAATTGCACAGATTATCGCCATACTAATGTACACAGTCTCGTATATTAGTATGGCAATAATCTGCACAGTTGAAAAATTTACGTTAACATACTGAAGTACTAGAATAAATATTAGGAAAGCTTTATATTCTTTTTGCTCGCCATAGTGATAATGATTACATATATAAGATATGAAGTATGAGAGTACGCGCATTTAAGAGTCAGAAAATGTAGTACTGATAAAGATATCTTTAGCTACACGAGACTGGAAAGTTGATGTCTTCGCTTTGATAAAACTATACCGGAACAAGATTTCGCGAATCGATATCAGTTTGCAGACGCGCCGCACGATTTCCGCGATTGCCACGCGCGAGAACACCGCGTCGTCGTTTATCCGCGCGCGTCTTGTTTCGTGAAGCGTGAAAGTTTCGACAGGGAAACAAGGCGGAAGACAGGCAGAACCCGCGTGCGCACGTACGGATTCGGGGAAGCGTGTAACCGATAACGCAGTGCCGTTGCAATGCGCTGCATCTTGCGTCTGCATTCTGGCGAAGACAGCAAACTGATGCACACACGGTAAACCACCCTTTCTCCAGCCTCCGCGTTTAGGCGCCTACTGTCGTCACTCACACCCTATCTCCTCTACTCCTCGCAATCTCCAAAACCTCGTTCGCCATCTCCTTTTGCGCACAGTGCATCTGGATGCGTTGGATGCACCGGACGCCTCGCGTGATGCATGACGTGCACCCATCTCTTTCCCTATCCTAACCGCGATTGGAGGGGTGCCAAGAGGATCGTTCGCATTTTCCGACGTCCTTCCGAGCGCCTCTGAGCCTCACAGCTTTTTCCTTCTTTCCGTTTGCTTCCCTTTTCCTCCATTTATATATTTCTCTTCGTATTATATTTCTCTCCCATCCTCATGTTCGCGTCGTGCGTCGACGGCATCCCTCTGCGGCTCCACCCCCCCATTTTCACGCCCTGCTCAAGATATTCTCCATCGTGTGTAAAATGTTTGCACTGTTTCCCATCATGAAAATCTACAGTCGGTTATGATATGCTTCAATAGAGGATTAAAGTGCTAAGAGAGATTAGATTTTTAATACCTAAAGTTTCAAATTGTATATTTCTTACGTCGAGAATAGCAATTTTAATAAATTTGTATAAATCTTTGAAATTTTTTAATTATAATTTTTTATGATACAAAATTCAAAATATAACATACGATACATAATTTTTAAAAGAAGACTGTGATTTTTTTCGTACAAATGACAAAACAGAAATACCTCGCCGCGCCGTTCGGAAACGAAAACATCACCGACGTTAGCAATGATACGTACGCTTTCTCGATTACTGCTCGCTTTGTCCAGCCGCGCAGAAATATGCATGAAACGGAAGCTGCATCGGGATCCGGAGAGACAAACGAGACGTGACGTTCGGCAGATGAGAACTAGAAGCGGGATAGACGCGGAAAGCGCGCGAAGAGCGGAAAGCGGAAATTTATTAAGTTACGATCGAACTGTCCGGAACGATCGCGAAGTAATTGGAAAAATCTGGTTTTCAGATTATCGATTCAGCGAGAGTATCGAACAGCCGGTTAGATATCTCCTCGTGAAATATCGCCGGGACGTTAAATCCGGCTCTGTGACATTTGTTTCCTTTTGGATGCTTCGTTGGCCGTTTTATCGGAGATAAAACAATATCGTCGCGGAACAGAAAATCCGCGATAAGTGATGGAATTACGGCAATTATGGCGCAACCTCGGTAATCTAAGCTAATTCCAGTATATATCCAAATGGGAGAACGTACTTGGATTATTGAAACATTTGGAATTTAAATGCGCGATAACGTTTTTTTTTTAAGAAATAATAGTTTTAACAGCAACGTTTAAATTTAATAAAAGCTAATGACGAGTTTATCACATTTAATACATTTTACGTATAAATTACAAGAACATTCTTTATTATTTATTAAATCGTAGATTGATTTACATCAATCCGGAATAGATAGCAGATGTAGAATAATAAAAGATTTTTTTATCGGAAATTTTACAGACATTTAAGAATGCTATCATTTACAGCGTATAGTTGCTTAAAAAGAAATATGTAATTGCGCGTATTGGAAAATATATCATTTTTTAAATAGGCAACTATGTATTTTCTTTATATCGATTGATTTATATCATTCTTGTTCTGTGCATAAAAGTATTAACCCTCCAACGGCACACGTGAGTCATTCGTGTCCATACCATTTCTAACAATTCTTATTTCTCGTATACTTACGTAATTTTTATTTTTCCAAACTTTAATAAGTATAAGTATATTTTTTTAATCTGTGCTCCGATAGAAATGTATGGAAATGTATTATATGTAAAATAAATGACAAAAATCTCAGTTTTTTCACGCAAGTACTTTATGTATTTAAGATTATTTGTGTAAAGTTACATTGTGATGTTATGAACACAACTTATATATATAAAATAGTCACAAATCTCAAATCGGACACAAACAACTCATGTGTACTGCTCTAAGGTGCTGAAAATAAGTGTGCTGTTGCAGAGTTAACCTTTTAGCTACGGCGAGGTCGGCGAGATTAAAGGCAGAGCGGTATCTCTGCCGCGGACTGCACAAAAACGATATTAAACACCGAAATCGGTGTTTGATCCTTTTGACTATACATGTCGTCACACTTACATTAAAATAAAATTACAATTGCTTATTTTTTCTTTTCTTTTAAATTAATAATTAAGTTATTTGTGCTAATGTGTACAACAAAGGTCTAGAATATAAACATTTCGTTATTAAAAATGTGAAATGTATGGAAAACTTGTATCGTGTTAATTAAAAGTGGTCTATTTCTTTGAACGTAAAATGTATGAGTAGCAACACTGAATCACATTTAACACCGATAGCGTTCTAGGATCGATTTCGGAACACAACAAAATAACACGAATAAATAAACATTTAATGCGCGTAATGTTACACTGTCTTCGCGAAACATACATAAAGTGCCTTATTGTATGTAATACGGATAATTGTCGCTGTCACAGAAAGTCTTTATAGCAAAAGTTTTGGTCCGGAATTAGCGGTTACGGAGCCACTGGCGTCGAGCGGATACACAGCCACCCTCGTCGTAACCCGCTCGCATCGTCCGGAAAATTACATCTTACGGTTGTAACGAACTTGGCGGAAGTTTGCACGAAGCGCGACGTATCGTTCGTTTATTAAGGCGAGCTTTAAACTATTCACGGCCGTGCCTCAACAAATCTTCCCGTGTAGTGTCTCTTCTTCTCTTTTGCGACGCTCGAACTCGCGGCGCAAGAAACTTGAGAATAATACAAAATTGGAATAGAGAAAGGGAGAAGAGTGAGTCGAACAGGGAAAGGGTAATGCGAAGTAATAAGGCGTACCGAAAGCAACGTGCAGTAAAATGCGCGCGCGCGCGCGCGCGCACGCGACACTGTCCTTAAACACGACGACGCGACGTGGCATTCAATTTCGCGTCAGCTAACTTTTTTAACGAACTTTGTGTGGCACACTTTGCGCCAGTTCTCATTCCAGTCGGAGATACGGAGACGAGTGTCTCGGCACACGGTGAAGAGCGTAATCGTGCTTAACGTGAATTATAAATTCACCGCAAACTATTATTTCAGTCTGATCCGACTGTCTGTGTAACTTTCGAATCGCGTTTCCAGCCGCGGTTACTGCGGACGGAAATTTCATTAAGACTCTTCGCGCGAATTTCGTACAGTTTAATATAATCTAATAATGTAATCTAGAGAACGTGTTCCCTGGAATATTTTCCATTTTGTAAAACCTTATAATGGCAAATTTCTGTTATCTAATGTATTACAAAAAATTATTTAAAAAAATGCTTTCTACATATTATTTCCCACATTAATTTACATCGTGTCTATTATTTGTAGGTGTACTTTCATATCTCACATACCATGTCACTAATATGTCTATTATTTTCATATTTCCGTAATGCAAATACAGTGTTGATAATATATTCACAGAAATCCAATTAGTACGGCCCAGGCTGAGATAAAGTTACTTCACTATAAATCAATGGACTACTTTAGTTACTTTCAGTCCGTCTTATGTCTCAGAATTAATAGGTTTATTACAAATAAACCTTTTGAAGATCCTTTTTGAATAATGAAATATTTGACTAATTGCAATATCTTTATATCCGTTTTTAAACAGTTAATTTTTAAATAAATTATATTTTAATTATTTAAGAAAATATACTTCTGGTTTGGGGAAGGATGTAATATTTGAAATCTGTTTTACGTACTCTTGATGCTTATTTCTTCTTTATAAAAAATTTTTTTTATGGATAATACAATCTGAAAGGCACGTTCTCCCTGTAATATTTTCCATTTTGTAAAATCTTTGTAATGACAAATCTCTATTATCTAATACGTTACAAAAAAATACCGAATAAATACATCGATTATTATTAAATAACTAGTATGTGACTATTCAATACTTAAGCTCACTTTTTTTAACTTTCCAAAGTTGATGCCAAAATTTGTAACACAGTTATTGACTCTGGAATTGTAAGACTCATTTAATTTATGTTAATTAAAAGGCATTTAATGTCAAAGAATTAAAATGACATAATATGATATTATATATAAAAAAAATGAATATGAAATTTTTTTTATGAAGAATAATCTAAAGAGTGCAGCAGAACTTAATTAGACTGATGGTCATTAAAATTGCAATAATGATAACAACTGAAAGTCTGCATATGAAATATTAAAGTAGTAACTGTTTGTGTGTATTATTGCTATGATGAGAAAATCAGTATATGAAAGAGAGCCTTCATTTAATTTTTCTTTTTTAATACTAGAACATCTTTTCAAAAAATCTAAAAAAAAAAGATGAATTTGACATTGAGAAGATGTTATGAGGTACTGTAAAAATATAATGTTACTCACTCAACAAGTTATACTTCTGTGCAAAAATGTGAGAAAATATCGTATTTTCAATTTTTTAACATTAACGCATATTTTCAAAAATCTGAAATAATATACATATTTTGCTACAATATTTGTAGAGGTAAAATAAAGAAAATTGAATTGTTAACACACATTTTTGACAGAGATTTAAAATGGAGTAGATCCAATCATGTAATATAGACATATCGTCAGGTCCGGAGGGTTAATTGTTATAATTTGCTAATTAATTTTTTGAAATTTATCTTTATTATTTTCATTGGTCATACTACTGTTATATTACGGTACGTAACAGTTCAATCAGGTAATTAAATTAATATTATTTTTGCTTTGTGTGATTTCATTAAAAGCGGATGTTTCCAACGAAAGAATTTTGCCATTTTCTTCAATAACATTTTGTTTGTTTACCGCGAACGATGAAGAGCATCGCGAAGCGTCTGTTATCCCTTCGCATTTCGTCAACACAAGCATTGTATAGTGAGATCCATCTTGTTCACCGATTCATCGAACAAACGATTTTCTCCTTTCCATCCGATCGAAATTACTTTCCGGTCGGATACAATGTCGTGTTCGTCGAGGCAAACATCGCTGCAACAAGACTTTCGTGCTTCCAATTCGCTCCTTTTCTCTTTCTGCTTATTCATGAGAAAAAAAGATTACGGATGCATCATAACAATGCGGAGACAACGTATAGCCGATGAACCGACAACAGGAATACCATCGCACTGCGTTACGTTATTACAGTATCATATTTCCCGAGATACATACCTTGTGATGCATTTCTACAGTACTTTTATTATTTCTGTATATGTATTGTACATATATATCCGCGAGCAACACATGTGTCACGCTGACGCAACACAGAGTATGCGCTTGCATGCCATCTTGTAGTTACGTGTTTTAAATCTATGACGCCATTCTCTTTATTACGGCAAAAAAGTGTGTTATGAGTCGAGTCGAGCACCCATAAAAATCAGCAATCCATCTAGAAAACTATTCATATTTTCTTATATCGCATTCTCCTGCAAGAAAAGTATGACGCATTTAAAAAAATTAACATAATTATCTGAGAGAGAGAGAGAGGGGGGGGGGGGGGG